CAGTTTAACACGGTCTCTTATGAGAGAACAAGGTTAGGTTTGCCTTTTAATTGAAATTAAGGTATATTCTAAATGTGTTGGAATAAAAAAAACGTTTTCATAGATAATTTGGTACAAAAGGAAGATGCTCGACAAAAAACAAAGTCAAGCCTTACCAGGCATTTTTCAAAAATATAAGCAGTTACAGTCACACGGTTTCAAGTTTGTAGAGTGCGAGAGGAGGTGCGCGGTAAAGGGGGCCCAAATGCACGGGCAGGGGGGACTTCCCGTTCCTCGCCTCTCTGAATGATACTCCCAAACCTCCTTAGAAAGCTAAAATTTTTATTTTACATTCATAAATTCAAATTATCTTCTCCTAACATTTCAAGCGCAAAAAATAAAAATGAATGTATATAAATAAGACTACATCAAAACTGCATTACAGGTTCGAAGAAAAAAAAAGCTTCTAAAACGAAGGCAATGCTGTTTCATAAATTTGTACATTTTTAAAATTATAAAACCTTCGTTTATAAAATCAAATGAGAACACATCGCAAGTCCGCAACCGGAAAATTCAGCACAAGCGAGTTTCAAAATGAATCCAACGCGAAATCACCGCTCGAAACGAAAAAAAGAAAAAAGCCGAAAGTCATCATCGCAGTGGCAATAATTACGGAAATCAATACGCGAGAGATTTCTCTGTTAAATTTAATACTCGAGGATTCATATCGCGTTACCCCGATCGTCTCTTTTATGCCCGCGTTTCTGTACGCGCAAAGCTCCCAGCCAACGCACACGCACACACACAGAAAAGGCGCGAGAGTGCGAGCGACTATTTGAAATTAAATAAATCCCGTACCGATCGAATGTAAAGATACATGTATACCCGTGTCGAGTTTCGACCCGAATCAACGAATCCTACCTATGACACACACACACAAGTATAATATTATGCGCTTAAGCGCTTGTATAACGCGCACACACGCCTACGTGCACATTATAGCGCGTAAAAGTGGAATTCAATTTCCAAAGCTCATTATTCGACGTGTATTGCAATTTGTACATCTCGCGCGCGCTTACGTGTGGTTCGATTCCCAACAGCAGTAATAACTTAACACAAATGATTTCTGGTTGTTTCGAACTGCGAATGCCCCCGTGTTTTATGTAGCAGTACGAGTGAGCGGCCATCTTGTGCGTAACTACGCAAATTATCGCGCCGGCTCCGATAATACTGCGATTACCAAATTTATTTTTTTTAGAGTTAGCTCTAAGCTTTTCATGCGCTCCAACTATACTTACTCCAAAATAACATCTCCCAATGAGGGTAGTTCTACCGTCAGATGGCGATAGTGTACCCATGTAAGATTTTTACCTAACATTATCTATACATCGAATGCATATATAGTTGTAGTTCTGTGGAAATCTTAGATGAGCAAACTATCGCCATCTTACGGTAGAATAACCCTCATTGCTTTGATCGCGACGATGCACGCTAAGATGTAAATAGACCGACCTAACCTAAATGTGTGTTTCACTTTTAACAGATGATCTAGATGTATGTGGACTTAATAACTTATTTTAATGTAAAATGACGTATTTTTTCATCCTGAAGCGTTCTTCTTAACATTTGGACGTAAACTGCATCCTCGGTAGGAAAAATGCAACATATTTTGGTGGTTTCGTACGTTTGACCATAATGCGATTACAAGAATCTGTTAAAACAGTGATATCCTTAGATATATCATGTGGCAACTATGTCAATATTCTTTCAACACCTGAAATTTAATTTCTGTAAAGTTAGAGCGTGTATTACATCAAGGGCAGCGTGAAAACGCACAATTTGCAATTTGTCATTCATCAGCATAAATTAAACGAATTTACGCGAACACGTGCACATGTTCTCGTGATTTGAATTGCATGATTTATTAGTCGAAACTGTTTGCAAGCTGTACATATATCTCTATATATCATATATATGGGGCATTCCACGTAAGCCCCTTAACGCCCCTTCATTCCCCCCCCCCCCCCCCCCCCCCNTCGGCACGAAACAATCTCAAGAGGGTTCGGGTGTTGACACCGTTCTACACAGCGCTGGTAAAGGCTCGAAGTAAAATAAGGAAAAATCGAATGTATTTCTACATTATTTTAACCCAATCAAATTGTGGTCAAATCCTCCTCACACAATTTTTATATGTGAATATAACATGATAATAATTTAAACTTTTGATTAATTTTTCTACACCTCCCAGGACGCAAATAGATGGACTTGAATCACTTTTTCAAGAGCTGTTTTTGATTGATTTACTTTAATATAGGTTCATGAACGTCCCGATATGTTATGAAAAAAAGCAAAAGTATCAGACGGGAAGATAAATTTGTTTTGTGCATTTTTATTTCTAATCATCAAAAAAATTTCATATAATAGTCCTCAGTTGTGGAAAAACCATAGTTAAATGAAAACTGTGGTGTTCGTCATTAAATAGAAACAAAAGAATTCATTAATGTGTTTATTATTACCATTAATTTTATTTTTATGAACTCAAAATCAAGACTGTACCTTTTTTTACTTGGCAAAGTATGAATCAAATTAAATAATGACTATGAGAAAAATAAAAAGTCCCAAGGCATTTTTCTTTCTGCATCTCCTTACTGACGCACATAAAAATCGAGAACCAAGCCAGTACCGAGGGATCATCACCACACCGTGTCTCTCGACCATCCATCTATCCTACAACCCGGACGGACCTTAAACAAGCTCAAATTGTCAATAACGAGGAAAAATAGTTTCATCTCCGAACCACCTTCTTCTTCATAAAAATAAACAAAAGAGTTCATAAGATTCGCAAACAAATTACTCAATTCCCCAGCAGCACTGCAGCCTCTCGCTCTTGTTCCGCTATCAAAAGCCGAATCGCAAGATCCACAATAGATCCTGATTTCCCCGGGACTAGAGGGGAAGGCACACCGCCCCTCCAACTATAACCGGAGCTGGTGCAATGGTAGGTATACCAGCGCGATATAACAGCGCCCGTACCATTTCTCCGCGTCAATTTCGTCGAATCCTGCCGGAATAATAAAACACGCCCCAGCAATTGAAAACTCGGGCGAAGGTGGGGCGCGCGCAACACAGATACGAGACTGCGTTGTGTACGGGGTTGCCTCTTAATTACCGGGACTCTCGCTATTTTTACGTATACTCCTCTTTCCCTCGCGAGCTATTACCTCGTGTTCTCGTTCGTAAGACTGAGACAGCGAAAAAAAAAGAAAAATATACAGGATGAGCTGGAAAACTGGGCAATTTCCAGTACTCCCGGGAGGAGTAGGAGGAGGGTAATAAAGCTGCTCGTCGCTCCATTAATAATGCGCGCCCGGCTAGCAAACGGTTTGTAAATTCGCGTGTACACGTATATATACCTACACGTGCGTGACGCGACGACAACTTTGACTTCAACATCGCTCTCGTTTTTTTTTTTTTTTCAATTTCATCCTCTGACAGTCGTACACCTGCTTTTTATCGCAAGCAGTACATAACAAGTTATAACGAGAGCGCGAAAAATAAGGAGAAAAAGTATACAGACAGACTTCCTTTGCTTCTTACGGAGAGAAATCGGTTGTATTCACCCGCGTACGGAGGAAGCGATAGCTGTGGCGTTTGTTCGTTTGCCAGTTAGCTCGGAAAACGGGAGGGGGGGGGAAGGTCTTTTAACGGCACCAAAGCGATCTGACGCTGCAACGAGCTTTGTACTGCTCGCCTCTTTGCCACCCACCCTTCTTTACCCCCCCCCCCGACCGGCTTTTCTTCGACCTCGTCTTATTTTTCGTGTACGGATATTGTTTGAGAGATGCTGCTTCTGCTACGATAGTAGCTTCGTTCATGTCGAGATGTTGGAAATTAAGTTTTTTGCGTATCGTACGTTTGCCTAACAAAACTAAAGACGCCTACTTTGAAGTTGTAAGCGTATAGTTAAGAAACTAAAATGTAGCTATTTCAAGATCTTATGGACCATTTTTTACACGTCTGGCTGTGTGTTTCAGCCTAAAAAGTATTGAGATCGTCATTAGAGCATTTAAACTTTACTAGATACTAGATTGAGCACTATTCTAGTGGCCAAGCACATAAATTTCGTGAAATGAGATTAAGCAATAATGGTGCAACCATAAAACAAAAAGTTGTACTTAGGTAAAAAAAATTTCCTATTAACAAGCGGATAGTAGTACACTCCCTTTAATAAAAAAAATCTTTTTTTTATTTGAAGGTAATCTCTAGATTTAATTGTGAGTTTTTCATAATTATAACTTTAAACAATACATTACTAAACAGTAACAAACCGAAAGACCAAATAATACTATTTTATCCTTAAATATTCTACTTTTAGAAGAAAAAAAAAGTCTATCAGTCACTTGTCGCAATAATCTAGCACACTGAGAGAAAAAAATAATAAAATTATAGAGAAATTCCAGCAAAAAGTACCATTCCGCACGATAATTAATAGTAAAGATTATTGTTTTGCCAGTTCAAATTATAGTTTGAGTAGTTAGAATTATGGTTAGAACAGTAAAAAAAATCACCATGCTGGAACAGTCAACCTTAAAAGGATCGGTTAATAAATTTTACTTTTCCGCATCGAAATTTTTAACTGTTCTAACCATAATTTTTACTAATGTAACCATAATTTTTACTTTTGTAATAATTTTTACTTTTGTAATAATTTTTACTGTTAAAAATAATAACATTTTCCTTTTTTGCCAGTTTGCGTTCGATTAACTGAACGGAATGTTAATTTTTACTCTTTTCTCTATAATTTGTATTATTTTTATCTCTCAGTGCATAATTCAAATCAAATCGAGCTTCAGACCTTCTAATGACGAAGATCATGGAAACCGAATACTAGAGGCATCAGCCTCCCTTAATCCATGAAAAAACAACCGCATTAAAAAAACCTGCCTCGACCCTACACCCATGACAAAGAAACCCGGGGATCAGTACTCGTAAACTGATATGGTTGATTGGTCACGTTGCAGGTGGCATGCAGCAGCACGACAAGGGGGAGGGAGGCGGCGACAACGAGGGAGTCAGTAGTAGCCGAGTAACAAAGCGAGCGAAGCCCCTGGATCCGGAGGAGGAGAAGCGCCAGCATCAGGCCGAAGAGGAGGAGGACGACTACTATTACGAGGACGACGTGGACGAACGGAACAATCCAACGAACGAGGCGCCGGTCGTACCGCCCGGATTCCTCAGCCCGTCGGTGCGCGCGTACTTGGACCTCGGCAAGTCGATACCCGGTAGGTTGCTTTTGTTGTTGTTGTTTTACGATATGCATATAGCCCCAGTTGGGGCTTTTTTTACTCTTCCACGAGGTGTTGGTGGACGGATAAAAAAAAGTGCTCCATGCGAAGATAGGGTTACAGCGGATGGGATAAAGAGCGGCAACTTTGTAGAGGGGTGGATGTCTTTTATTCTGGAATTTCATTTTTTTTTTTTTTTTTTTTTTTCCTCGTTTTTGATCGAAGGACAGAGAGGAAAGTTTTTGCGCTTTTTATCGGCACGAAACAATCTCAAGAGGGTTCGGGTGTTGACACCGTTCTACACAGCGCTGGTAAAGGCTCGAAGTAAAAGAGAGAGACGTGAAAAGGATACCGACTTCTTCTGATTCCTCTTATAATTATTAATACAATTAGTTCTACACACCTAATGAGGAATACATAAAAAAAAAAATTTTTTTTTTTTCAAGTATACATAAAGTGTTAAAAGGTGTATTCTGATTATAGGTAAATTCACTTTTCCAAGGTGCAGAGTTGAATGAAATGTGCTTGTTGTCAAAGAAAAAGAATAAAAATAGTATAATCACATCATGCAAGCGCTTTAATTTGTTTTTGAAATAGTCATTTTTGTAATTTAAAATAAAGAATACAGAATCAAAGAGCTTCATCCTATTTTAAAAGTTTCTTGGCTTTAAAATGAAGCCCTAATAGCATTGGTTAGTGATTACTGGATTACATTTGATTGGTTATTGCCTTAAATGAGCGCTAGTTTTGAAAGTATTTTTTCATCTTAAATTTTGTGACGTAGTTGGTTAAAACGAATCATGTAGTTTTTAAAGCAGAAAAATGATACTGAGAACATCAAGTTGAAAAATAAATTAAATTAGTATAGGACATATACAAGCATGGAAATAAAAAAATTTGAAATAAATTATTTCTGTGTGAAATTTTTTGAAAAATTACAAACAAAATTAGCATTTTGTGAAGTTGGCGCCCGAAGCAGCCAGGGGGCAGAGCCCCCTAGTTATAGAAACCGATAAATACTACCGAATAATATTTTCTGCCCCACTATCGACTAGATCACTGATTCGAAATTTCATTATCAATAAAATAGTGATTAACGTAATGGATGATAATGTTTTATTTAAAAAACTGCCTAACGAGGAAATTTTGAAAGTACAGATAACAAACGGTTTTTTGGATGATTTTAAAGTAGCTAATAAATAATTTTACTAAAAAAAAACTTGTATAGTTTTTAGAATACCCTGACATTGTATTTGATACTTAATTTTTAAAAGTTATTAAGATAGAAATAACACAGGACCACAAGGTGCCCCCTTAACTAAGCTAAAAGAATAGCAAATATTTGGGTTCGTTTGAACAGTATCCTCAACTAATTTTGCTTTATCACGTCATTATTTTTTCCTAACCTCAAAATATGACTAAAAACGTAAAGTCTAACCATGTTCAAACCAAGTACCTTAAACCCTCAAAACCTAAAAACCCTTACTTTCAAGACATCAATTAACGTTCTAGAAATAACTTTCATTTAAAATAAAATAAAGAAATCTGAATCTCGCACGTGTTTGCCAAAAACTCGAAATCCAAAGCATCTCTATAAGATAACGGTTCATCATGTAGTTACGTGGTCCGCCAACGTTTATGAATTTTTTCATGGCTTTCAAAAGAAATATCTGAATTATTAACACCAAAACTAAAAGAAAAAAATTTTCTATCCTTAAGAATTCGTTCATCTTTTTATCACAATAAAGATATGAAATCTAAATAAAAAAGGGAGACGTTAATTGTCTGGAAATTTTAAAAAAATAAAAATTTCGTAATTATGCCAGTAATGTTTAAAATATGGTAGAAACTATTGAAAAATGGGAGCTAGATTATTTAAATTGCACGTTCTTTATAATTATAGGTGTGGAAGGATTCAGCTATCTTTGTTAGACTCAATAATTTACAAGGGTAGGATCGGAAATAATGTAAAAAGTTTTGAGTAGTACCAAAATCAATTTTATTATCATACAGCAAGAGCACGAATGATTTCTACTGCTGTAGATCGTTTATCCAGTGACTTATACTCCTCAGTTTTGACGACACTTTCTAAATTTCCTTTGATAAATTGTATTGCTTTTATTTTCAAATCATGACTTCTAAAGATACAACTCCAATCCAAAACTTTGGCTGCATTTTCGATAGTAATCTCTTTCAAAAGATTTTCCAAACACAACCTCTTTAAGCCATCGATTTGATATTTTCCTGCTGCAAATATAAGTTCAGAGCTCCATACTTCTGAATTATTCACTTTGGCTGAGTACATAAAACGCAACATTTCGATCAGCACCTCAAACTTTGTATCTTGGATTTCCACACAGTTTTCACGTTTTCCTTTCATATCAGATTTGATAAGTGCCGCAAAAACCGGGCTGTGCGCAGCTAAGACGAATTTGTGCGTTGGCAATATTTTCTTGCATGGCGCGATAATCGTGAAATCGCAAAATTCTGGGTTTTCAAATTGCTGCTTGAACGCATTCAAAACTGATGTTGTTGAATCTTCGAAACTGCTTGCTAAAGTATCTATAGTGTAGTCAATTTTTGAATAAAACGTGATATCGCACAAAATGGTAAAATTGTTAGCTGTTTCCATCAATAAACTATTGGAACCACTATCGAGTATACAGTAGCGTTGTTCTCCTCCATAATGTTGGTCCAGTGGTTCAATTAGCAGAAGTCTGTCTTTGATCATTACTCTCCCATTTTGATCACAAATAGAAGTACTAGTTTTCAATTTCTCGTAATTACTTTTTTTTGTTCTTTCAAATTCAATAAATACTCTGCAAAAATTCATACATACGTAAAAATGAATTTTAGAACTCTTACTCCCGATTCCTAAGGTAAAACCTGGAGATTTCAGCATGTTACCTAGGACGTCACATCCATTCAGTTTCCATGAATAGCTGAATGTATTTTTCAAACTTTCGGTCACACCTTTTTGAGTAGTAAATGATCTAATTTCCATTTTACTGCATTTACTAAGCAACTAGTTATTTAAATTTTGCTTCAATTTTGTTCACTAAACAAAGTTGGATCGATATCGAACTGTTAAAAATTGAGCTGCGCCATGCTTTGTCAACGTGTACTAGCTAACTATCACCGTATTGATTGAAATTTGGAATACGTGTTACGATTAGTAGTTCAGTATCTAAGTGTTGATAGTCTGTCAAGAACTAATACTGTGGGCTCAGAAATGTTATCAGGAGTACGACAAAAGCATGTGTGGCCGCAAATATGTGGTAGTGATGATAACAGAGTAGTACAAAATAAACGCGACAAAGAAAAATATGACAGGCCAATCGACTATTAATAGTCGTAAGCAACATATGTTTATGAGTAAATCCACAAAAAATATTCCGTATTGCCCCCCATTCGAGTTTTGTCACTGTTGCATTGAGGCTTTTAGGGTAATGATTTTACTAGATTTTATAAAACTGTGGAGTTTTAGGCTCGTAGAATTATTGGGTTGTGCAGGGATGTGGGGTTATGTATTGCTGTTAACCTTTTAAGATCAGTGGAGCAACATCAATTAAATAATTGTTAGTTGATGGTATCCGATATGTAAGTTTAAGTAGCAAGTGTTTGCTACGGCCGATGTTGAATTCAGGCTGGTCGAATAAAAAAGATAGAATTAGTATCAAAGTCAGCCAAAAGCCCCATTTTGATAAATAGTGTCGAACTCAGACTTCGGACGAAATTCGTGTTTAAAAAACTATTCTTTCCATATAAAATAAATATAGGTATTTCAAAATCATATACACTTATTTGATAAGACCCTTAAACTATATATATATGTATACGGAGACTGGTAAACAATTTTTAGAAACATTGTTAATGAACTCTAATGGTAGTTTTTCCTTATTCATAATTTATCATATCTTCTCTCAAGAAAATTTCTTTTTCCTGCGTCAATGTTAATATATACTTCTGTTTGTATACTTTTAAAAACTGTCCTGAATGTAAAAAAATTCGGGTAAGACGAATACGTATATTTCACTCTTTATGTGCGAATGGAAAGATTCGCAGTTGTTTGTTGTATGACAAAGAATGCAAGAAAATTTTACCCATGTTGGTGGATATTAAGCTTCTTTTAAAATATAAGTATGCAAGATGTAGTCGCGAAATTCTTCAACCGCCGACCGGATCCTTTGGCATAATGCTCATTACATCGTCTGTGAAGCAATTATCAATATCATTAGGATCCAAAAATGGTTGTCCGAAGAAGCACTTGAGGAAGTCTCGAATTTCAGAGTCCTTTTTTTTGTACTCTTTACTGAGCCCAAAATTTTTAATTTTTTCCCATTAGCTCTATCCCAAATAAAACTGACAGCCCCAAATATTAGCTTTGTCGCATAAGTTTGTCTTAAACGTATACGTGTATTTTTTCAAATGAATCACTAGTCACCCCTTTTCACTAATGTGGAACTCCATCGTCGTAACAATAAATTTAATATGACTCTTCGAGTAGTAGGCTGTCAGTGAAGTACAATGTTTAAATTAAAATAAGTAAAAAATAACGTTTCAAGACAGTGAGCATAAATAGACAAAGAAGATCCTGTAACATATGATAACGCTTATCAGTGACCCAGCTTGAATTCAATATTACTTGAAAAACCACGATAATAAAACGTAACCTAAGCCCGAATTTGACACCATGTTAAAACGGGGCTTATCGCTCAGCCCCAATCCGACAAACTTCCTTTTCAGTCCAAATTCGATATTTACCTTTGCAAATATAATGAAATTATTTAGTCATTGGGTCTTGAAAAATGTAGATTTTAAGGTCATAATTTTTTTAAGCCATCAATATTCGGTTATAGTTTATTGGTTTCGAGGTTAAGGGGTTATTTAGAGAAGATAGTTACAAGGTTTAAATAAGTCTCGAGATTGATATGGTTGGAATTCACATTTTTCATCATATTTTGAGGTTAAGTTACCAAGACTCCAGTACCCGTGGG